AGAAACGGGCAAAACATAACAAAACAGGTCCATGATCCTGACACTATGTTGAACAGCTGAACAGATAATGTTTTTAATAAACAAAATGAATAAAACAAATATGTAATTTATGTACACTATCATTCAAAAACGATATTTTTTATTTAGTAAAAGTCACAGTAAATATATGTACAATGTTACAAAATATTTATATTTAAAATAAATGCTATTTTTTTTAACTTTCTATTCATTAAAGAAACCTGAAAAAGTTACCACCAAAATATTAGGCAGCACAACTGTTTTCAATACTGATAATTAGTAATTTGGTCAAGTTTATTGAACACCAAATAAGTATATTTGAATAGTTTTTGAAGGACTGAAGACTGGAATAATGCTGCTGAAAATTCACCTTTGACATCAAAGGAATGAATGAATGAATGAATGAATAGAAAGCAGTTAATTTAAAATTATATTAATATTGGATAAAATTACTGTTACATTATACTGTTTTTTAATCAATAATCGATAAATGCATCGATAAATAATCGATAAATGTGTGTGTGTGTGTGTGTGTTTGTTACAAACAAATACACTCTGTATTAATGTGTATAAATTTATTAAAGTGTGAAGTATCTGAATTATGGATCCTGAAAAGATGTGTTAGCAGTTGTCTAAAAATATGCTGGTGCTTTGCAAGGAAGCTCTGCGTGACTCAGCATAAGTTTGTCTGACTGACAGTCAAACAAACCATCATTCCTTTCTCTTTTTTCCAGATGTTTGGGTGAATACGCACAAAATGACACAGATGTTAAAAAGTGACATTTATACCGGGCTAACAAAAATGAGAAAGCATGCATGTTGGTTTGTCGGCTGAGAAAAATACTCTGCACCTCTAGTGGGGGAAAATAAATGATCTCATGCTAGCTTTTGTCACCCTAGCATTGAATACCTGTGAGCATAACTGAATGTCTCATTCTGGAAAGCTGCACAATCCACAGATTCACTCGGCAACAAAATTGTCTCACTGACAAAAACTCTGCTAGGTATGTGTTTATTCTCCCATGCACAAATATATTAAACTCTCTTATTTGCTGAGTAAAGAGACACCATCTGTTATAGGACTACCTGTTCAGAATGAAAATGCACTTTTGTTTATTTACTCTCTGGCTTGATCTCTGGCTTGATTCTAACAAATTATCACTGTGCTCATGTCAGTCATAGCAAAGACACTGTGGCCCATTGGGAAGCAATAAGAGCCTTAAGCTAATGCTTACAACCAAGATAATTAATAATGATAATAAATGACAAACAAACCACATGCCCTGTGTACATGAAGACCCCAACCGAGAAACAAAGAGGGAGGGGGAAACAGAGCTAGCTTTAAAACCAGGACCGTCCTTAGGGGGGTGCAACTGGTGCAGTCGCACCGGGGCCCGTGCTTGAGGGGGCCCCGCGGTGAACCGGAACGTGATCGCGAACGGACCGAGGGGGGCCCCACTCCCTACCTCGCACTGGGCCCCGCGTCAGCTAAGGATGGCCCTGTTTAAAACCATTCATAGCCTTTAAATGTGGCTTGCCCAATCACAAGCTATAAACCATTTTATAAATGGTGTGTCTGTAAAATTAAAGGGGTCATATGATGTTGCTAAAAAGAACATTATTTTGTGTATTTGGTGTAATGAAATGTGTTTATGCGGTTTAATGTTCAAAAAACACATTATTTTCC